TTGTACAAACTGTAACAATATGTTCGAATAAACAGACCTGAGGCATGACCTCACCTTAACTCCAAAAAAAAAAAAAATCAAAAATGGTTTAGTAACATCTAATATAGTAAAGCAATAACAAACAAAAACAATCATTTTAAATATAGTGATATCGAATTTCGATATGCTTATGATAAGTGTCTTGAAACTTACTGATATTATTTCTATATAATTAATATCAGGTTTTTGATTAAGTTATCAATTTGCTAATATTAATTTTCATTTAAATGAAATAACTTCAAAAGATTTCTTTTAATTGTCTGATATAATTCTGAAAGGTATTCTATTTCTGCCAAATTTCTGTTTTATATCAGTAACATATCAAATATAAATATTATTATAATATCATTAAACTATCATTTAACTTTTATTTAATATTAGTTTTCTGATATTTTGCCAGTATAGATTTATTTAACCTGTAATATATTTTAATAATATAATGATCTAAACTTATTAAATTTATTGCATTAAAATATATATCTAAATATTTTAATAAATCATTAAGCCTAAAATATATTTTAGAACTTGGATTATAATTTATTAAATATTTGTTAATAAATTCTTGAGCATTATTTAAACTAAATGTCCAAATTAAATTTATAAATTTATAAGAACTTATAGTTTTAATATTCTTTTTTGATTTACTTAATAATATTTTTATTGCAATATTCTGTTTTTGAATCTATTTAATTTAAAAAAATATAATTATTTTTATAAAATACTATAAATAATATAAAAATCAAATAATTCATATTATTTATATTATTTGAACTTCTATATTCTATTTATTTGTTAAATAATATAGTATTTTAATAAAACCTTTATAAAGACTTTTATAGGTTTTAGTAAAAAATCTTATTTAATTGTACACTTTATATTTTTTTATAATTTTACTTTTTGCAATTTCTAATTAAAAAATCTACAAAAAAAAGTTATTATTAATCAATTAACATTCATTACACAAATATAAACAGATATATACAGTATACTTAACAAATATTTTTTTGAATTATTTCAACTATTTAGAAAACAACCAATTAAATTCTAAAATATTTTGTCTATTCAAGCTGACTTGTGTTGATTTCTTTAGTTTAATTGATCAATCAACAAGTTTAATCACGTGATAGGAAAAATCAATTAGTTGCAACTATAGTTAACATTCGAAAATTTTTTATAAGGGTTTAATTTTCGTTCGTAAAATGACTGGTATGTTACACGGATTTTAATTATAGAATACACCCGTGTACAATTATAAATTTTCTAAGAAAAAAGTCGGCCGGTCGGGTCTGTTCAAAAATTTCATGTCATGAAAAACCAAAGATATTAAATTCGTGACCGAATTTATATCTCATGCCCTTTGCAATAACATGCCAACCCTACTTACAACACTACATTTACCTAACAAAAAATCTCGTGCTCGTGATGATCGATAGCAAACCAACCAATAGCAAATCGTTAATTGGTGTAACGTTCCAGAATCAACTCTAAAATCTGTATAAGAAATCACCTTTAGCGCTCGAACAAAAAGTCTTTATTGGCGATTTTACTAGTATACTCGCTAACACCTTAAGTAATGCTAGTCCTTACATAAACGCATTTTCAATCGCTACGTACCCGAGATTTTATTGATGGGGAAATCTTTTACCTTATAAAAGTTATAAGTCAATTCTATCGAATTAATCAATCTTAGCAATATTAATAATGTTATTCTGATTATCAAAATATTTTCTAAAAGCTTGGTACGAATTAAATTTTTATTAATATATTTTTATGTCTTACAAAATATTTGAGAACCAAATTTAAATTTTGGATCTGAACCAAACCAGGTTTAGCTTGGATCTAGAACTTATTATACAAAATCCGATCCTTAGGTTTTAATTTGGAACCTGAAGGTATTAGAGCTTAACCAAACCTAAACTAACATATCTAAAGATTGTTAACGACGAAACTTTTTATTCTTTTTGCGGTCGTCATCGGAGTCTTCACCATTTTTTATTCCGTGTTTACGTTCGTCAGCTTCAATTAAAAATATGTACATTGTAAATATAACAAATTATAAACAATGAACGATAATAACTAGTATATATACCTCTGCGAGCCTTTTCTTCATGTTCATCCCAATCTGGCGCTGATTCGTCACTTTCTTCCTCGGATTCCGAACCAATAACATCGGATGCATCTTCATCCAAACTACTACCATCACTCTAAAATTTTATGTTATTTATTTTGAATAACGTTATAATAAAAAGGACTGAATTACATGATACTTACAGAACTTTCCTCGAAAGAATCTTCACTTTGCATGTATTCACTTGCAGAATCCGAAGATGCAGCTGAATCTTCATTCTATAAAACTATGAATTAGTTTTTCTTAATATTATCTAATGGTTTCAATTTTTTTAATTACCTCACTGTGTAATTTTAAAAATGACCATCCTCCTTGTTCAAAAAAATCTGCTGGATCGGAATTGATTGTCTTCATGATTTGAGCCCAATTTAAATTTTGGGTGCCTTCATAAAAGTTTACATCTACAGAGCTAGCAATGGTTGCCAATGTAAGCAGCTTACTCTAAATCAACATAAATATTTAAGAATATACGCACTCTAACCAATCTTTAACGTTTTCTAATTGATTCATAGGAATGGTGTTGATATGAACAGGAGGACGAGTATAATCTTTAAAAATAAACACAAGATCGAAATTTTTTAATCCAAACTATAAGGTATAAACGTATGCTATTAGAACGAACCGTTACATTAATCCCTAATTTGACCATTTCATATATTAGCATTAACAACCTGAACGCGTTCCAGATGTGCGATTTCGATATCAGCTAGTGGTACTACCAAAAATGGGGGATCCGTAAGATGAACAAGACACTCTGTTGTAGGTTGTAACAAGACATTAGTTCTGAAAGGAACGCCCTGAAAACCAATTTCACGGAATGGAATATCGACATCAACACGTCCTTCGCTCTAAAGAAAAAATTTATTAAAATTTATTGGAATTAAAATTGCCAATTTCAATGAACACCTTCTCACCGCTTCTGCAACTTTTTCAGTAAACTGCTTGAATTCTTTGTTCAGAAGTGCTCTTCTGCGCCGTTCTTCCTGTTCAGCTCCAAGTTCATCTTCATCACCATAGCGATATTTCCTTTTTCGATTACCTGTTTCATCAAATTGTACATCTGACGCTTCACGGTAAAATTGTATATCCTGTTTAGATTTTAAAAAAATTAGTGGCTTATGTAAGTTACGTGGATATTACATATACCAACCTTTGTTTTTTTCTTGCCATGAATCACAGGATTATTAAGATGTATATGCAATAATACAATAAGCTCATTGTCACAAGGCTGGAAGAACAAATGCTGAATATTGCTAAACAGAATATCTATTTCGGGATATGAATTAGAAACGCTTATCCTTACAATTCATTGGATTATAAAAAATAACATTTACCTAATTTTTGAGTGGTACGATGTGAATGATATCTCAATCCGTTCTCATGAATCTCGAGCTCACCAGGAACACGCTTTCCCTCTAGACCTGGTCGTACAAACACGTCCGATAAACGCTGCGTGGGTCTGCGACCTATTTAAGAAAATTTATTGTACATGCGCTTATGTCATCACTATAAGAGCAATAGTACAATTAATTACCTTTAATCTCAATCAGCTTATCTTGAGCTATCAAATCTGCCATCTCCTTCCTTTCGGTCTCCCTGTAAACAAATAATAATAAGTTAAACCCAAGAATATTAAATATTAACTATATTAGATTATTTGAAAAATAAAAAGACACCTTTTAGCAGCAGCTTTTTTGAGATCAATAATTTTTTTATAAATATCAGATAATAACTGATCTGTGCTACGATATGTGAAAGCCCTAACAAAAGTTGCACTCGGGTCATCAAAAGGCTAGAAATGATGAATAAATAAGTATAAGCAGTCGATAAATTTCAATCCTTGTACAAATATAATAATTTGTAGAGTACCAACATTATCTTCCTTTTTTCCTGTAGCTTGACCTGGAGTCAAAAAATTTAAACGTAGATAAACATATTCTCCTTCTTCCGACTTGTTCACGTTTTTCAATGTAGATATATGAAAGGGGACTGCAAAGCCGAAAACTGGTAAAATAATTGATTCACTCTTTGAATCTACAATAATCTACAAACAAAAGAATTTTGCATCAGTCGTATATATGAAAAAAGATCTTATAATAATTCATACCTTCAAATCCTTGACTTCTTTCGGAATTGCAGTGTCCCTTTTATAACTTTCAAACGCTCTAAAAACAGCTTTATGTTGACTGGTCTTTTCGTTCGATTTTTCGCTGAACCTAGCGAGACCATCTGCTTGTTTCCGAGCTGCCAATTCTTCTTGATGTTTCTTGCGCCTCTGATCTTGTGACTCATCATCCTGATATTAAATAGGGAGTCTTAGTATGTATTATTTATATATTTCCATCCAACATTTATATCATTTAATACCTTTTCTTCGCTTCGGAATTTGGTTCTCAACACTGCACTCTTCCGATTACCAGTTCTTTTGTTATCTAAAGTCTTTGGGGGCCGTTTAGGTTGTTTCTTTGTTTCATGGTCACTTTCGTTGTCATCCTTATCATTAATTAATTTTGAGTGTAATCAATCAAGTTGAGAAAATATTTTACTTTTGTGAAATGAAACCCATACTTTAAGTGAAAAGCAAATGCTGTCTAGTGTCCTGTTGCCTTCTGTTAGCAACTGAGCAGTATTATTATTGACTTTTGCGGTGTCTATTATCCATAACGAATAGCTATAAAATATGTTAAAATATGTGAACAGCTTTTACTAGGTGTACTCTTAAACAAAAAGATACATATAAATATATGTGTTAATTATTTACATCTTGCTCTTCTCGTCTGTGGCTTTGGGATTTTCAAGATCTATAAATCCAATAAACAGATTTAACATCATGCCGGCCTTGAGTTCTTTAGTATTCTTTTGATTCAAATTATAAGCAGACTCCCGGAACTCGATTCCCATCTAAAAAGAAGATTATAATTTCCTATTGCTTAATTAATCAATATTATTACTATTTTAAATAGATACATACTCCGTGCCCAAGGCTTTTGACAAACTTATCAGCGAGATCAGGACGTTTGCTTTTAACGTAATTCATTACTCTTGTATATATATCTCCGATCTTTTGACCTTCTTTCAATAATTCCAATGTACGTCGTTGTACATCCAAAAGAAACTCATAATTTTTTTCTTGCTCCTAATGACAACGAATATTAAATTCAATACAACAAAAATTAATTGAATTAGGATGTATGACCTACTTTAGTTGGATCTATTAGAATGGTTCTACCAATATTCGAACAGTATGACTTGTATCGAACACCCAGAGAACAAAGAATTGTTCCATCATGCAACTTATTATTATTAGATTGGGCGGAAGGTTTAAAATCGTAAACACCACCACTTTGTATGATTGGAGCATAGCACACGTCTGTTCGATTAAAATCAACCTGAACATCGTGTAAAACGATAAAATTAGAATACGCAACACAAACATAAAAAAATTGAAAAAATTTCTTGAATAAGATTATTCGCACATCTTGAAGACTTTTATGACTTGTAAGCCATTTTTCGTCTTTAGTATACAACATATTTTCTACATCTTCAGATAATTGTTCATGCGTTATCTCCTTTTCTTCATCAATAATGGAAGATACCACGTTAATGAACAAATACATCATCGCGGTGCTTATTTTGCACGCCATGCGTGTTGTTCTCTAAAACAAAATAATTAATTATTATATATATAAATGTGAGCATCCTAAAAAAAAAAAAAAAAGAAGTGTACCAGTTCATCATCGTCTTTTACAGCTAAGACATAAGCTATACCCGGAGCGATATCCACTTCATTAAAATCTTGTTTGAAATTATTGTAAGCATTTTGCCATTCTTGGACGAAATTTCCTGACGTCTTATCCTTCAATAATAATCCGACGCGTTTCTGTTGATAAAAAATATTATAAGCTATTTGCTTAAATTATGTACTGATACAACTGCATATTCGCACCTGTTCACCCTCTGAAATCCTGGAAATAATTTGTTCAAAAAGTGTCTGATTATGGGATGAATCTTTACTTCGCTTATGAATTTCAATAGGTACTTGTCGATCACCTTGCTTCAACTGCTCAAAGACTTCGGCTGATATGAAAAATGATCATAAATTTTAAGATTTGTGTATAATGAAAGCAAATAATTGACATATAATGTACCTCTCTTTTCTTTTACTATGAAATGAATTTTGTCTAGAGTAAAAAGAATTAGAGTGTCCGTGAATTCATAGCCCAAAAGCCATTGCTTTTGATAAATAAAGTATTAATAATTTATTGAACATTAGACCAAAATTGTGATTTTGAAAATAATATAACTACCTGAATCGCAGTAGACTTTTGATACGGATATTCTTCCATAATTTCTCCTACTACAACAAGAATTGAATTTACACCTTGAAAGGCTTGATAAATCTCGTCGCTTGGCTCTTTATTTAACGAAGACTGAAAAAGTATTTTTTTTTTTTTTTTTTTTTGCAAATAAGGTTATTGGACAAAAAAAATCAAGTTTAAATCAATGTGAAAAGTTTACGCGATTTCTTGAAATTATTCCGAATATTTACTTGGTTTACATTAAATTTGCAAATTTAGAGCTGTTTTATTACATACCTTCCAAATTGAGAGGAAATGTCTCGCGCGCTTGTGAAATACATCCGCGTCTAGGCGAATCTCCATTTTTTCTTCAGGCATTTTGAGAAAGTAGTTGGTGCTTTTGAACGATTTGACTTGATATTACAAACATACGCACGTCTGTGTTTGCTATTTATAATACGTCTGTATCGCGTGATTAGTCAGATGTTCAACCAATCAACTTTAATCGGTATCAGTCACAGGACATGTCCCCATATGGGTTTTAATTTAGTTTTAATTAACAGTCGAACCTCTCTATAATCACACCATTGGTTTTAAAATTTTGGACGTAGAGAGTTTGTGCCTATATAGAGGTTAGCGTTATCGTTATAAGTTGGTTTTAGAAATTTATGTGATTATAAGCAAATGTGACTATAGAGAGGTGACTATAGAGAGATCTGCCGGACAAGCCTGGACAAATGGGAAGTCTAAAATCCAAGTCACCAAATCCCAAATCTCAAATATTATCATCCTATGCGTACTATATATACATATCTCGCATTATGATGATTCTACTTCATCTGTAATATGATTTCACACAATTTTGTGCAAAATAAATATTGAAATTTTTATTTTGGATATGTCCGGAGTAATATCACTATTAAAAAATTAGCAGGGATTATTACAGCATATGCAACAGATAGATATAAGCACGTGATAATAATGATCACTTGGTGTCATAAAAACAAGTGTTCTCCGTTTCGCTCTAAACAATAAAAGTTGAATTAAGATTTTAGATTCAAAAACTTGAGATTTAGGATTTGAAATAGGATTTAAAGCATGGGATGGGATTTGGGATGAGATTTAGGATAGGATTTTAGAGTTTGATCAGAGTTTGGTTTATGACAGCCCAAATAGGGTTTGTTTAGTTTGAGATTTGAGATTTTTCCATATGGGATTTGGGTAGAATTTTGAAGATTTGTAGTTTGGGCGGCATGTATAGTCATAATTAAAACTCAGAATTAATAATGACAACGAATAAGAAACTGATAAGAATGGCTAATTTGGTTTATTATAAAAATAAGTTGACAGTATATATACAAATATCCAATTATTATATACAGCAATTTATACATGCTGTCCAAATCCGAACAAATCCCAAACCTCTAAAAAATAATTGCTAATAAATTAAACAAATAATTCTAAAATTTATAAATATATTTTCTATAGTTATAAGAATATATTTGATTTTAAGATTAAGGTATATATTTGTGATTCGGGATTTTATTAATAATACATTTAGCTAATGGTTGCATTACAATTACAAGAAGCAACTATAGAAAGAGTATACAACTAACTATTTATATAATTTAAGTTATTGTCTAATTTAAGTAGTCTATTTAAAGGTTCTATATTAGCTATTATACCTAGAACCTGCTTGTAAGTTTTTTATTTAAACACTTTAGTTTTTATTTTCATTTGCATATCTATATTTATCAATAATTCTAATTAATATTGATAAAAATATATTATAATCATTAAGTTTTTAAAGCAGTTCACTCATATGAGAAACTTTTAACCTTGTACTAAATCTTTTAAAATCTTTTATATCTTATTTTTATAGCTAATTTTGTAATACATACTATAGTCAAAATTAATATTTATAGTTAGAACTTATCATTAAACTGTTATGTTTTGTAAAATTCATTCTAATTCTAATACATACTTTATAATATAAGTTTTTGGTTTAGATAGTCTAGAAAGATAGATATAATTATACCTTTGTTTTAATATTTTCTGATATGTAATTTTTTCTTTTAAAAGATTTTAATAGTCTGAATAGTTATTAACATGTCATTTGACTTTATAAGTTCTAGTTTTATTTTCTAGATTTAGTTTTTACAATAATATCATTAAAAGTTTAAATTATCTTTTTACTTGAACTGCAAACATATTTATATAATATTTAGTAAAAAAAACTAATAAAAAGTAAAAATTTTAGATCTTATAAATAATTTGAATTCTTGTTAATAGTAATACAAATAGTTAGTTTTAGCTTAGTTATAGCTTAATTATAATAGAACTAAGCTGCTTTTTAGTTAAATTGCTTTTTAGCTAATTATCTTTAGCTAAGCTAACAAGAGTTGCAACTTTAATTTGATTACTGTTATTTTTATTTTTTTTAACTTTAGCAGTTATACTAATATATTATTAAGATTCTTAAAACTATATATAATTACAAAAAAATTTTTAATATATAAGTCTAGTATTATTTAGCTATTTGATAATAACTAAGTATAACTTGTTGCATTATTTTAATTAAAGATAAACTGTTTATCTGACTATTATCTTACAATAGAATATTATTAATCTGATAACATCTTATAAGAAAGCAAAAAAACAAAAAAAAACTTATATAAAAACAAAACAAAAATATAAAAGTAAATAATAAAAGATACAAATTAAGAAATAAAAAAAAAAAAGATAGCAATTCTAGTGTAGTAGTTGAGTTGTTATCCTTCAAGTGGTAGGTCTAAGATTCAAATCCCATCTATGACAAAAGTTGAAAATTATATCTGCATCATAGTAACTGTTTCCTGTTAATTAGTTGGCCTTATATAACTGTAACCCAGATATACTAAGTTAGGTCCTATCAACATTAGAAGCTTGGACATTTATGTAAAGTGTAACATTACATATACATAGAAGTAAGTATAACCAGTGTTGTATAAAACTTCAGTGCAAATCTATAATAAGACTATTAAGTATAAAAGACTAAAGAAACTAAAGCAACAGAAACCTACTTGTAAATTCTTAAGTAAAAAGATAATATAAACTTTTGACAGTACTATCAGACTGATTGAAATTTATGAAACATCTTTATAGAAACTAAAAGTTAAAACTGGATGCCAAATATGTATAAAGAAGCATATAACCAACCAGGCCATCAGATTTGCTAGAGAAAAAGAATACAGAAATATATCATATCAAGCCATCTAGACTAGTAGTCTAAAATAAGACTAACAGTTCTGAGTTGTGGCTAGTAGAGGATGATAGAGAAGATGCTAAAAAGATAGATACTAGAGTTCTAGTAAACTTTATAAGAATAGAAATAGTGTAATGTAGCAGTTAAACAGATAACTTCTGTGATTGCAAGTGTTAGATAACTATAGCATATTGCATAAAACTAGGTTTATATATATAGGACATAAAGGCTCTAGTAAGTTTCTTGTTAAGGATAAATTAGTCCTAAAGCTAACAATAAGCATTAAGAACTTGAATAAGTGTAGCCTTAAGATGTTCTTATAATATAAGAAGAATTGTATATGCAAAAGGTTTAAATAAGCAAAACCTCTAGCTGGCTTGCAGATATAACAACTAGTGTAGAACTTATATAGCAATGTGTAAGCAAACTATTTAAATTAGATACCAAAAGTGCATATATGACTAGTTGTAATCTCCAATATAAGATGAGTTCTTGGTGACATGCCATGTCCTAATATACTTAAATAAAAACATTACATCTCCAAGATAGAGACTTTAACTATAAAAAAAATAATAATAATAAAATATAAAATAAATAAAAAAAATAAATAAATAAGAAAAAAGAAAATATATAAAACTTATAATTTACAAATATCAAATAATTTTTTTAATATTAATAATAAGACTATATCTTTATCTTTATTAAATATTTAATTAAGATTTTTAAAATATTATAAAAAGAATAAAAATTCAAACTAATTTATCTGCAAACTAAACTAATTACAATGGTCAAGACTCACTTAGATTTAAGTGTTAGTAATTATATATAAAGAATTAGTTTGATATTTAATCTATTAAATATACTAAAAGTTTATTTTTTAAACTAATGAAGTTAAACAGAAAAGATGTAATAAAAATAAAACAGAGTTTGATAATAAGTTATGTTTAGAAATTTGAGCTGTAGATTTTGAAATACAGTAGAGAATCCAGATTTTATAATAAATTTGTTGATTAAAATAAATTTAGATTTTATAATAAATTTGTTGATTAAAATAAAGCAAGAACTTTATAGTAAGTATTGTGGCTACTTTTTTAGATAACAAACTTGTAATAATGTCAATGAGTTCATTTGGTATTAGATCTCTTAATGTTAAGAAAATTAAAAATGCATCTGATAAACTAAAAGTAGTTATATTACTTAGTAGCTTAATTTGGTTATATAAATTAATTATAGTATTTGATATAGTGTCAAGTATATTAGTATTGAAAGTATGTTTTAGTGAAATGTTTATAAGGCTATGTAGTAATTAGTTAGATAGACAAATTGTTTAGTAAAAATGATAACTAGTTTGGTAATATAAGTGACAAATTGGTAAATATGAATAATATCATTTGTGTAAAATATATAAAGTAGAAAAATTGTCTAGTAGAATTTTAATTCTAAAAGACTTAAAAGTAGAAGACTAAAAGCTGTATAAGAAGTTTGAGATTTTTTGATTATTATTAATATATAGCTAAGTAGCTTACTAATTAACTTGATTAAGAATTTTATACTATTTTTAAAAATAGTTTTGTGTAATCTATAATGCATAAATATATGTATAATATATTATATAGATATTGTAATGAATAAGTAATTTTAAAAAAAAGTTTTCAAAGTTTAAAATATATGATATAAAAGTAAAATATAACAAATTGTAATGGTTATATGCAAATTGATTTGCAAAATTATTGTACTAATCATCTTAATAAACAATAACTTTGTAAAAAACAATGTAAATATTGTATAATTTAATAAAATTAATAAGTGTATTCTATAATAAGAAGTATGATGTATATATATAAAATAAAGTTTGAATTAAGTTTAAAAGATTGTGATATTTAAAGATTACTAACTGTAAATTAGTATATATATATATAATATAGTTTTTAAAAGCAGTAATAAGAGCAGATAGGATAGTAATAAGTTCAGACTTAAATAAACAGAACTAATATTTTGTTTAAACTTAAAATATATATATTATAGTATTGTTTAAAATTTAAGCTTATCCAATATCTATAAAACATTGTGATATATCCAAGTTAATAACAGAGCCATCTGTATAAAAGTAAAGTTCTAATAATTATGTGTTGTA